TGCCCCCTCCGTTCGTCCGAGAACGCGCGTAGTAGCGGTGACAAGGGCAAAGCAGACGCTGTCGATTTCGAACTACAATGGACCTTTTCCAAATACCGACGGCACCAGGCGGTGGCTGCACGAACTAAAAATCGAGGAAGTGACCTACCTGCGCTACCAATCGATAACGGGAGCTACGCTACCAGTTGCTACGCTCTCTGAGCTGCGTCGCGTGCCCAACGCGACTTTAAAGAGGGAAATCCGTAGCGTCCCCCCAAACGTCGTGTTTTTGTTTTCGTCCACTTTCTTTTTTCGTGTAACACAATTATATATATGCTGCAATTACGTGTTCTACTCGTCGATCTACAGTCTCATTCCAAATTTCCTCGATTTTTCGTGCCGACTTCCACCGCTTGGCGTCGGGTGCTCGCGTGTGCGCAGAACGCTTCTCGGAAAAGGTCCATTGCTTGTGCGGGCAACACTTTGTGCTCGCCAGATGTAGTTGTTGTGTTCCAACATGATCGAGAGAAAACCGCCAAGTTGTCCGGACCACCGGCGGGTTCAGTTCGTCTTCAAATTCAAACAGCCGCCTGATCGTTCGAACTTTCGTCTGCTCTTAATTTCGAGCCTGCTTTTTGTCGTCTGCTCGTTAAAACAAAAGCGGCCCGTACATCAAACTTTGACACGGTGATTAAAACAAGAAATAGTCGCAGGCCTCAAAAGACTTAAGTTGGCTCGGTGTAAACAGTAGATACAAGATGTTGATCATTGGTACCAGTGGCCATCACCGACTTGTTACGCTTGGTATGTTCCCAGTCCCGATTTTCAGTATCGACGTCGACCTTCGCCGCTACCTTCTTCACTTTTGCAGCATGAGCGACGTTGCGACCGAAAGTAGCTTGAAGAATCTCATCATGGGTTTGGCGTCCATTCTGCGGTGTTCATGCAAATGAATTGCCGCACGTCAAATTATTTACGCAAAGTTTACGAACCTTGATAATTTCGCTCAGGCGTTTAAAGTGGTAAGACATTGCTATGACGACGTAGAATCGACAACTCCAACGCGAAAAAGAGTAACCAGACTCACACAGACGCCGGAAACGTGACATTCCAATGGTTTGTTGATTCGGGACGCGGTGCTTCTTGCCCGCACTCCATTGCGAATCCGTTGGAACTGTCGTCTGCTCTTTCAAACTTGTCCGCTTTTTGTCGTCAGCTCGTTCAAATGACAGCGGCCCGTAAACCAAACGTTGACCCGGTAATTGCGAAAAGGAGTAAGTGCAGGCCTCAAAAATCTTTTGAAGGTTGGTTGGGGTAAGTAGGCTAGGTGTAGACACTAGATACAAGAACAAGTTGATCATTGTTACCAGTTTCCGTCATCGACTTGTATAATGCCCGATTCTACTGGCGGTTTTCAGTATCGACGTCCACTATCTCAGCTACGGTCCACGCTAAAATAGCGTGCACAATCTCATCGTGGGAGTCACGCTTTAGCGCCCATTCGGCGGCGCCCACGTGAAATGAATCGCCGCAAGTCACATTATTCACGCAAAGTTTTGCCTCGTTAATTTTGCTGAAGCCGCTCAAGTAGTCAGACATTGTTAGGAGAACGTAGAATCAACAATTCCAACGCGAAAAAGAGCACGGGGACTCCCACCGACGCCGAAAACAACGCAATTCAATAGTTTGTTTATGGGCGACGGCGGGCTTCTTGCCCACCGTCCATCGCGCATGCGCGGCGCCGGTGGCGTCCGCTAGGGGCGCTCCGGTTTGTTTGTAAACATGAGTTGGTGTATAAGACAAAGGATGTAACGATACACACTTTACACCCTTTTTTTCTTGAGAGTGCACTATCCGTTTCTTGGCCGCCGCATTGTGAAGTGTCAGCATCTACAAATGATTTATTCGGTGTGCACCACTTGCCGCGATTTCTTTCGTTACGTCTACTCGTTCCAGTTCTACCCTTACGTGGTCCGCCCGGTAAAGACGACCGGTCACGTTCCAGTGGAGGAAGATGGTATTTTCAGAGAAACTTCGAGATGGCAGAGGGGAAAGAACTACGCGGTAATCATGAGTCGATCAAACATCAATAAGCCGCGGTCAGACTAGGCCGTTACCACTGCTCCTTGCTGTGGGAGGTAGCCATTCTTCGTCCGTACGGTGCGAGCGCCCGAAGCAGAAACACCACCAACTGGGTCACGAAGCCACTTTTTTTTTATGTTATTTTTGGTTTTACATAGGCCACGCAGCCACGCTTACGCGGCTTGGGAACGAGCGAAAGTTTATGGAATCGCGTTCCACTCTTAAAGGCGAAGCTTAATCGTCCTCCTGTAGTTTTTCCCAACGGAAATTGGTTTTAAAGTGTTATTCCGTTGTTTTTCTTTATGCTTCCCACGTGTTTAAACAAGAACAAAAACCGACCGAATTGAAATAAGGTTAGAATACCGATTGCCGCGTCAACTCGATGGCTTCTCGTCCGACACAGTGGTTAAACAAGACCTCGCGGTTATTGAGGAGTTTCAGCGAATATAGGGGGCGCTCCGATCGATCCAACATGGCGGAAAAGAGAGGGATAGATTTGCGACGCCCGAACACCGGTAACGTATAAATTAAACAAAGCGTGTCGTTCTTTGTTTGTTGCCATGTGCGAGACGATAATCGCTTCGACCAAGACCTAGCGTGATGTTACAAATGAAGTGTTCAAGCCAGTCGAAGGCAAGAAATCTTCCCCTAGTCAAGATATGTGTGCAAGTGTTCGACGTGAGCTGTTACGCTGGTGCAGCTGTCATCATATTGAACCAAATGTACGTGGGTCCAAAGAAAGACGCGTACTTTATTAAAAACTAAAGTTATCGGTCTGTCGCTACAAACGTTGTCGTCGACGTTGCTTGGATGATGTAACATTCAGGCCTCGCATTAAACGGTGTTGCGAACTCTTCGGTTGTTCTAGTTAATTGTGCTAGAAAGCGGTTGGATGGAAATTTGTATGACAGCAACAACGTACAAGGGGCGATTGAGGTCTTTATCCTGCGTTCAATGTATCGAAACATCGGTATCCTTGGTGTTATATTGCGATCAGCTGGTCGCCGATCATCCTGTTTTTACATGTAAACAAGCTCCGGCAGCGCCAATCTCATTTCGATGTGCTTGTGCACCCCTACAAGTCTCCTTTTGGTTCTTGTGGAAAGCTTTATTGTCATAGCAATAGTCTCATCGGTCGTTCGAGAGTTATGTACCCCGGTGATACCTGCTGCGTGTGATCGGCTGACAAACAAGTCTGTATCAAATGCCAGAAGAAGAACAAAAGTAAAGCTTTTTTAACTTCTTTCTTTTTATAAAACAGGGCAAAGCTTCTAAAACAAGAGCAACCTAAGCTGATATTTGAGTGTGCTCAAGAATGAATGACAAAAGGTGCTTATGCTAAGTAGTAGATGTACACGGTTGATTATCTTTTTGCCTCTGCAAATGGGATGATATGCATCAGCAGAAGACACGTGTCCTTTTGAAAATGTATTTTATTAGGGCAAAAATAAGTTTTCGTACACAACCGAAGAGTTCGCAACACCGTTTAATGCGAGGCCTAAATGGTTACATCATCTAAGCAATTTCAACGAAAATGTTTGTATCCGCAGACTGATGAATTTAGATTTAGATAAAGTACGCGTTATAGTTTCAGCCTCAAACGAGCAAACATTGTTGATATGATACGTTTCTTGATGACAACTGCACCAACGTGAGAAAGCCCACGTCGTCGAACACTTGCACACATATCTTGACTACGGTATAGCAAGATTTCTTGCTTGAAGTGAAGGTCACCTCGCTACGTCTAGCTACGACCACCCACCGCAGCGATAGAGGCGTCGAAGGGGCGCAACGCAGTTAGTCGCCGCCACCCGACGCTGCTCGTTTGGCATTCACGGCTTTCCGCCCAGGTGCTTCCTTTGTACTTGGCACCGAGTGTTATTTTCTGTGCTTGTGCGTGTGCTCACTGGCTGGATATGGGCCTCAAGGGCAGTTCTTGAGGATCAATAGCGTTCGCCGAAGAACTTCTGAAGAAAACACCACCCAGGAAAAAAAGAACGAAGACACAATGCACTGGCTTGGCGGACTCTGCACTGGGCGCGGAAATCAGGCCCTGCGGATTATATACACCAAATGCAAACTATCTAAACAAAACAAAAACATTTTTAGTCTCAAATTGGCTTCTGCGGACTATACGCCTGGACACTGGTGTCTGTTATTATGCATTGTATATTCACTGCTCTTTGTTGTGGCTTGAGACTGCCTTACTGTAATGATTCAGAGGGGTCAACTGAACCTTGCACCAACAGAAAGCGTTGCTGCAAGCCCCTCCGCCGTCAACTTTGAGTCGCTGTCGAGTCTGAAGAACTGCTCTGTGAGGTATATCCAGCCACTGAGCACATACACAAGCACAAGATATAATACTTGGTTCCAAGTACAAATGAAGAACCCAGGGCGGGAAGCCCTGAATGCCAAACGATCTGCGTGGGGCGACGGCGACTGGCTGCATAGTACACAGGTTGCGCTCCTTCGACGCCAGCGTCGCTGCGGCCGGTGGTCGTAGCTAGTCGTAGCAGATCGTGTCACCTCTATTGCTCGTATTGGAACACTATAGCCGCGTAATATTCTTGCTGCCGAAGTTTACAAGCCTACGTTCGCGGCTAACGCATTTACACAAAGCCAACGCCAAGCGAACCTGTCCCCCTCTTTCTTTTTCGGCGACCGGCCGCCAGGATGGTGACACCGTCCCTGAAACTCTTCAATCATCTTGCGTAATGCAACGTTAGATTATTCCAAAAATACGGCAAGTTGCCGAAATGTTATGATTTAGCAGTTCAGCGATCGTACCGCTACACATTTTATGAAAGCTTGTGGTGAAAAACAACAGCCCCCAAAGCCCTGACGTGTGCCTGCATGTGAGCGTCGCAGCTGGACTGTGTTTAGTTATGTAGCAGCAGTTGTATATCGCTCCGAGTGTTAGTAGGGCTTCCCTTTTTGGAATGGAGCTGAAGAGAGCGGAAACGGCTGAGGCAGCGTGCTCTCGCGGAAGCCCAGGCGGAGAAACTGCATTCTGGAGAAAGAAGTTTCTCATCGTTGTGACAGGCGCCAGCGGAGGCATTGGCAGGGGCATAGCGGCCAGTTTCGCCGAACACGTCGCGAAAGGATCGCTCCTCGTCATTACGGGTCGAAACACGGCCGGTCTCGAAGAAACAAAGCGGATTATCGCAGCTCTGGGACGCGAAGTCAACGTGAGCGTCGAGACCTGCGACCACTCCAGGGCCCTTTTCCGGGACTACCAGGACCTTCTGGAACGAGCGTCGGCACGACTCCCGGATCCGGACAGGGTTGTGCTCGTGCACAACGCCGCGACGATTGGAAACTGCTCCGACTATGCCGTGTCATACGACGACGAGAGAGCGATCGGCGACTACTACCGCTTGAATCTAACGTCCGTCATGACGCTGACCGCGGCGTTCCTCCGGCGCTATGACTCTGACTCGGGTCCGACGCGAACAATCGTCAACGTCTCGTCCATCGGGGGGATCATGGCAGTACCGAAGGTCGGCCTATACTGTACAGGTAAGTCTTCGGGTTTCGGGCACACTAAAATGTTATTTATTTATGAAATTTAAATAAAAAAGTCCCGAATGGATTAAAACTATAGTTCCGTGTTTTCGGATAAATCCGAAAAACTCCAAAAAGCACCCGCTGGTAAAATTTTCGTCAATACGGATTTATATAATAAACACCGAATTTCAATGTACCAGTGAAAAAAACGACAAAAAAAACGATATTTTAAGATAATGTTTGGACAGCGCACAGGGTAAATGATCTTGGGAGAATATCACCCCAGTTTTCATTCAAATCACGTACCATTGACAACTGTAATCTTACCGCTTAGCTCGTCAAGGTTCATCATGACAACAGGTCTTTCGGGTCACGACAAAAGTCAGTGTTCCCGTTTCCAGTTTGGGCCATATGTGCTTCTTAGAGGAAGCAGGGAGTGTGCTTTTGTAAAAGTGAAAGCTGCGACCCATAGATTTCATAGGAGAAGAAAGAGGGGACGGGGTAGTTCAAGGCTGCTCACTCTTAGAAAAAAAGGATATCTATAGTCCTCCATGAAGGGAGGAACGCTCTGGTACCTGTCTCTCTAGAAAGGGAGAAGCCTTCGTCCCGAAAGCAAGGGAGCAAAGTTCCTCCGTCGCCTTCATCTCATTATGGCGGCCCCGAATCGAGCAAGTCGAGTTGAATAAGGCTTAACGAGGACGACACATCTATTGCACGGGGCTAGAGGAGCAGCAAATAAAAGTGTAACACGAGCTTTCTGCGAACTGTATCTATTTCCGAAGGTGGCTTCCCCCGCAGGTAAAGAAACTTGCGTTTCGAAAGAAGTCAGTCAGTCTTCTCGTCGTCAGCACTACGATGTTAAAAGGAGACAACCGATATCTAGTTACTTCGCGCACTTTACGTCTTACCTTTGCTATTCCTCAAGCCACAATTCCTTCGTCAACCGCACATCACGGAGCAATGGTAAACCATTCGCAAAACCTTAAGCCTCACTCAAAAGAGCAAGTTCGAGGCAACTGTCGCAAGGTAACCAGAAATTATCGCGAGGCGGGAAAGAAGGTTAAATCACTTGCCACCAGATAACAGCGTCAAGAAGGGTAATTGCAAGTAGCTAGGCCAGGAGGCGCTAAGTACCACCCAATTCATGTTCATAAAAAAGATTTTTTTTTTCACGGCACCATTCCGTTTTGGAAAACTTCACTATTCACACATATAATTACGCATGAGCTGCATATATACATTGAGCGCACACACATACACACACATACAAACATCATTATAACACCACACTTTCCCGATCGTTACATCTGTGCTCTGCGTTTCCGCCCTTTATCGTTTCGAAGGTATACGGATTTTCTCGGTGACCACCTAAGTAATAAAAAAATATTCCCAGCATGTTGATATTTTCCCCAGCAATGTCACACCTCTGAGAGTATCTTGAACGGCTCAGGGGAGGAATCTCTTTGTAAAATGGAACGCTCATGACGTAACTATTTGAAAGCCAATAATTCAAACCGCTCCAATGCGGTTCCATGTGTTTGCTTCCCCGTACGGCCCGTCGTAACCAGTATTTCTGTTGTGGTGATTTTCTATTTGCGCTGTTCGCGTGCGGCTGCACTGTTTAGAATTAACCTGTGTAGGGGGCAGTCTTGGGTAGTAACGCGTTACTAGTAACGCGTTACTGTAACTTCGTTACTTTTTCGGTAACTTGTAACTGTAACGAGTTACTTTTTAAGAATGTAACTTGTAACTGTAGTTCTATTACTTTTTTCTGAGGTAACGATGAAAGTAACGAAGTTACTTTTGTCGTTACTTTTCAGTTCTTTGTGAATAATATATCATTAAACGAGTATAATCTAGCTATTCCTTGCACTTTCCAAAGTGTCTGTTCCGTCATTTTGAGTGTCAGTTGGCCTTGCACAAACTTGAGAATACGTTCTTTCTCGCGAGTCACTATCCGAATATAGCCACGTGTAGATTTGATGAAGAAAAAAAAAAGAAGAATGTAGTTATCTTTACGCACTTGCTTGTACTTTGTGACTGAGCACTTACATCTTAGTATATTGAAGCACTACCTCCGTTGCGATTTTTTCTTTTCTGCGCACGCATTTCAATCGGGTGAATCAACCGTGAAACAATACACGCGGAGGGAACTTCGTATGTTTCGTATTTTGATTAGCGCCACTACTCCGCACTGCGCATGTTTCGTATTTTGATTTGCGCCACTACTCCGGCGTGGTTTCAGCGGTGGAGGCAAAATTTACTGTTGTTTGCGCAGGGCTTGTTTCTGGTTTGCCGGGTACGAACTGAAATATATCAAAGGAGTACACGAACACAGCGCAACCGTCAACGAGCCAGCAATGTGCTAGTGCTACAAGGATAGGGATGTTGATGAAAACAGAACAAAGAACAAGCATGGCCGGCGTACAGAGTATTTTTCTGTGGTGAAGTTGGTTGCTAACTATTTAACCGCAGTATGCAAACTTTGCAACAAGGAGTACTCTGACAACAAGACTTCGTGTTCAAATCTGAGAAAACACATCCAGTTCAATTTTTGTGTTTATTCTTTTCATAATATTGACTAATTTTCCAGCTAAATTATTAAGTTTGAATTTACCGCTATGGTGAAAGCCAGACTGATTCGTGTCTATATTTTTTTTCTTTCAAACATTAGTTTTTCCTTAATTTTTGTGTTATAGGAAAGTAACTGAAAAGTAACGTCGTTACTTTTTGAAAGTAACTGTAACTGTAACGAGTTACTTTTTTGTTGCGGTAACTGTAACGGTAACTTCGTTACTTTTTTGTGAAAGTAACTGTAACTGTAACGAATTACTTTTTAAAAGTAACTTACCCATGACTGGTAGGGGGGTATTTCAGGTTAAGCGAAGCTTCACGGGGAGAGAAATCGCTTTTCGATCAACTTGAATGCAGTCAAAGCCGCGACTTCCGGCAGGCGTCTACGGAGCTACGCCGTGGCGAGCTAGATAACTTCTGGCGCTCATCCCAGCGCGCTACTTGGAGGGCATTTTCTCCAGGAACCGTAATATATTTAAACACCAAAAATAAATAATAGTTTTTTTTCACTGTGTAAAGGTACATCGGACGTATCCGAAACACGGAGTCTAGAGCTACGTCGGACGTATCCGGACCCATGTCGAACGTGCCGCGGAACCCAGAGCTGCGTCGGACGTAACCACGATTGGGAAGGGTCAGATCACAGCGGGTCATAGCGTCCCTTACTGAGACCCCAATGGCAATTTTCATTCCATCTTTATTTCTCATTGCTACCATAATTAGTCCATTCGATGTTCAAGAAAGGGGGGGGGGGGGTACATTCGGGAAATGTTCCGAAATTACAAAATTAACCCTAGAAAAAATTATTCCGTTCGCCGTCAATTCTCAGCGCGCACCACGGTCAACCAGTTGCTCTCGCTACGACTCGACGAGTCCTCGGTGGCCCGTCCAGTTAGCTGCATACAAACTCGCAGATCTTCTTCTCGAGTCCCGGATGCCAATTTTTGCATTATTGCGCGGTCCCGTACACTTTTTAAGGGTCACGGCGCCCTTGAATACCTACTCCCGCTGTCTTCGCCACCATATCACAGGGTATCGCAGATGCTCTGCAGTACCGTGGTTCCCATTATCTTTCGCGTACGTGATGCCCGTTCGCTCTAACTTCACTGTGCTAAAGAGGGCTAAAATCATATTTAAGCGCCTACCTTTTTAGATGCGGAGCATCTCTTGCTCGGGCTATGTCCCGCGGCGTCGTAGTCCGCACTCACACTACGCATGCGCAACTCTCCTCGCTGCGCGTGCGTTCTCTCTCTCTCCAACAGCTGCGCGAAGTGCACGCAGCTACCAGCTGCGTCCCTCTCTCCAACAGCTGCGCATGCGTTCTCTCTCTCTTCAACAGCTGCGCGAAGTGCACGCAGCTACCAGCTGCTTGCACTTCGCGAGCGTTCGCTTCTACTCACACCGCGCGCGCAGGCGCAATGGACCTTTTCCGAGAAGCGTTCTGCGCACGCGCGAGCGCCCGATGCCAAGCGGTGGAAGTCGGCACGAAAAAATCGAGGAAATTCGGAATGAGGCTGTAAATCGACGAGTAGAACACGTAATTGCAGCATATATATAATTGTGTTACACAAAAAAAAGAAAGTGGACGGAAAGAAAAACACGACGTTTGGGTGGACGCTACGGATTTCCTTTTTTAAAGTCGCGCTAGGCCTACCTCGTTGCGTTGGGCATGCGACGCTGCTCAGAGAGCGAAGCAACTGGTAACGTAGCTCCCATTATCGATGGTAGCGCAGGTAGGTCACTTCCTTGATTTTTAGTTCGTGCAGCCACCGCCTGGTGCCGTCGGTATTTGGAAAAGGTCCATTCTCCTCCTCTAGTTTATTCTCCTTCAAGTTTGAATATAAGCAGGGGTAGCGCGCTGCGCGCGTTCAAGGGGAGGAAGTGGCCGAGTGGGCTATCGCGTCGCAGCTCCGAGCGTGGAGCGAAAGCTTGCGCTGGGAACCTCCTGGGTTTGAGTCCCCGCCGCCCCCGCCCGTTTTGATCTGGATGAGTTTCGTACCGGCGCGCGTTCGTGTGATGACTACTTCGTGATGCACGTTAAGAATCCCAGGTTAGCGGTTGTACTGCACTGGCTAAATGTCTCATCTACAGCTAAGAGACCGATTACCCGTTGAGGCGCATCTCCGTCAAGGCTGTATAAACATAAGGAGAAAACCAATTTCTGCGCGCGTTCAGTTCACCGCTGTTGACTCCACTTCACTTCGTTCTTCCGATGAAGTGTGATGGAACGATGCTCCGCATCCCCCCATAGTTCCCCTCGGGAAGTTGGTGTAATTGTTTTTTTTTTTTTTTTTTTTTTTTTTTTGCGGTTTTCACGTCCCTCGGGGTTCGGGTAAGCCAGCACGCACGGAGAGAGTAACTAAATATAAGTGCGTCATATTTTAAACGGACGACGCGGAAATCTCCTCCACCTACGGGGGCGACCCCCGGTGCCAAAA